TGTGTGTGCACTTGTACGGACAGTATATAGGAGCCCCACAGTCGATAACACTACTCATCTTTACATGCATACCCGATTTATATACATATGTATATATATATATACAGACATTCCATATCTATATATATATATATATACATCTATTCAAACCTACCCATCCTTCTATGCATCTATATATATATATATATCTATACAATATGTATATATATATGTATGTATTTATTGAGGGCTTGATTGTGAGTATATAGCTTTCTTCGCATGTGTATATGCACGTACATCTGTATGTATTTGTATATACAAGGGGATTGGAGCTTTGTCGTTTGGCCTCTGGCCAATATATACAGTTTTGGTAGACATATACAAGCCGGTTTAGTGATAGAAATTATATGAATATAGCACTATATATACATATAATAAATTTCTTCTCTATGTATATATATATATACATATATACATATGTGTAAAAGCACACATGACATACGTATATAAATGTATAGACAGAGCGATATAGACAAAGAGGCAAATAGATATGTGGATATAGATGGGTATATATATAGTTATATAATATATATATATATATATAAATAGATATATATATATATATATATATATGTATATATAGAAATAAAAGATTTTCGAAATACTTATTCTGCCTAGGGGCTCACATGACCATCCCAGACATTCGTCTTACCAGAAGATGGGGGCGACACCACATAGGGGCTTCCAGATGCACTGGCTGCGGATGCGGGGACCAAAGCCTGGTTGGGGGTCGCGGGCAAAGGCTCTTCGGCCATCATTGGCACAACCGCCAGAGGCACAGATTCCTCTTCCGGTTCGGCCTTCACAACATCGTCTTCGATCTCAATCACTGCGAGTGTCGAGGGTGTTGGGGCAGGAACACTACTCATGGCTGCCAGGCCAGTCGTGCCTGCTGCTACTGAACCTGTTGTTGTCGGGTCTGCTGTGCCTGAACCTGTTGTTGTCGGGTCTGCTGTGCCTGAACCTGTTGTTGTCGGGTCTGCTGCGCCTGAACCTGTTGTTGTTGGGTCTGCTGCGCCTGAACCTGCTGCTGTTGGGTCTGATGCGAGGCCGGCTGCTCCCACACCATCCAATGAATCGAATGACAACGATCCCAATCCCGACGGGGCATCGTCGAAGTCATCATTGTCATCTTCATCCTCCTCGGAGAGGAATCACACCCATACACTGGATTATACACTCTTTCTAAAATCACTCCCTGGTGGTGAATATCAATGCAAGCCAGAAGCTTCCAGCGAAGTGCCTGCTGAAGACCTTCTTGAGTTCATGTAATCCACCAGCTCCTGGATCAATGGATGCCCAAATACTTCCCAGGTTCACTATATTATATATATATATATATATATGTATGTATACAACTATATATATTATATATAATACATGTGTATATATATATATATATATTTATATTTATATATTTATATAGAATATATATGTACATATATATGTTTGTATATATAGAAAGAAACACGTATTTTTATATATATATATATAGATAGGAATTTGTGGCTTTACAAATTAAAGCTGAATACCGGGCAAGAGGCTTGCAGGTGTGGGTCAAGCATCAAGATGAGCTGCTGAAATGTAGGATCCTGAAATGCTCGCTTGAGCTTCGACATTACCTTAAGTTCGATCGAAGGATTCCACCAAACATATTGTTGAATTAATTCAAAGGTTCTGTTGTGACCTCGCGCTTGCGAATCTTGAGCTTCATGAACGCAATGAACTTACGAATTGTCCAAGCTACCTTGTCGATCTCCTTGAATGTCACTTCCTGCTTGCCCATATCCATGAGTGCCTTGACCTCCTCGCGCAGGTCTTCCACTGCTGGGGAAGGCGCGATCTTGCCTTCCTCCATGCTTTCTTGAAAAGCAGCCATCATCTCACAGATAGGGCTGAGCACAGGTCCATTCAGTGAAGCTGTTTTCACCACGATCTTTTCCTTCGTCTCGGGGTGAAGTAGTGAGCCCCCATTACGCAGCCTCGACCTGATTTCAGGATGGTTCTCCCACTGGCCGGCGAGACCAGTAATCTCGGGCTTCGACATGATGGAAGCTGAGAGGCTTTATCGAAGCAACAATTGTCTATATTACACAGCGAGCAAACACTGATGCACACTGAAAGCGTTCTGAGAATTGTAGCTATAAAGTGGTGCAGACTGCATGTCGGCAGCATCCAAAGAGCCCGGGCCTAAAATCTTGCGGTATGCGCAAGCAACACCAGCAACCCAGATCAATAGCTCATTGCATTCCTGGGCTTCGGACCTCCATCTGATCTCGAAGTTTGGATCGCGGCATTGCATCGACTCTCGAATCGCAGAAAACAAGCGAGGGATGCACAGTGAGGGCTCTATACCGATATGTTGGCCCACATGCTTGTTTCCAATTGCTCAACCAACCCATGTGGAACATCATATAGAAGAACTCAAATCCTTCATCCCCATGTTCATGTACGGAGCCGCAAGCGAACCTCGGCGAGGCTTGTTTATCACGGGTTTTTGGGCTGTATTGACTGGCTATAATTGATCTTATAGTTCAAAGACTTTGGGAAGGTTGCTGGCTTTGGGAGCTTGGATACTCTCATGTTGGGTGGGATTCGTGCTATATATAAAGCTGATGCCAGGTAGTTTTCATGCTATATAAAAATAGGGTTAATAGGGAATAACCGGGTTATTATGCAGAAATGCGGGTTCTTGCTTCTTTAAGGATTCAAAGACGGGTTTTGTCCGAATAGTCTGCTTTTTTTAAGGTTTTGGGGTCCCTAGGTAGTGTTTGGGAGGGGGAGACTGTGTCCTTTTTTACCGGGGGGGGGGGTATTTCTTCACGGATTTAGTGTTTGGGAGGGGGAAACTGTGTCCTTTTTTTCGGGTGCGGGGGTGGGAGCGGAGCGCTGGTATTTCTTCACGGATTTAGTGTTTGGGAGGTGTCCTTTTGTTTGGGGTGGGGGAGCGGAGTGGGATTTCTTCACGGATTAGGGTTTGGGAGGGGGAAACTGTGTCCTTTTTTTCGGGGGGGGGGAGAGGGAGCGGAGCGCTGCTTTTAGTGTTTGGGAGGTGTCCTTTTGTTTGGGGTGGGGGAGTGGAGCGCTGGGATCTCTTCACGGATTTAGGGTTTGCGAGGGGGAAACTGTATCTTTTTTTTCGGGGGGGGGAGCGGAGCGCTGGTATTTCTTCACGGATTTAGTGTTTGGGAGGGGGAAACTGTGTCCTTTTTTTTCGGGGGGGGGAGCGGAGCGCTGGTATTTCTTCACGGAGAAAGTGTTTGGGAGGGGGAAACTGTGTCCTTTTTTTCCGGGGGGTGGGAGCGGAGCGCTGGTATTTCTTCACGGATTTAGTGTTTGGGAGGGGGAACCTGTGTCCTTTTTTTCCGGGGGGGGGAAGCGGAGCGCTGGTATTTCTTCACGGATTTAGTGTTTGGGAGCGGGAAACTGTGTCCTTTTTTTCCGGGGGGGGGGGGGGGGAGCGAGCGCTAGTATTTCTTCACGGATTTTAGTGTTTGGGAGGGGGAAACTGTGTCCTTTTTTTTTCCGGGGGGGGGGGGGGAGCGGAGCGCTGGTATTTCTTCACGGATTTAGTGATTGGGAGGGGGAAACTGTGTCCTTTTTTGCCAGGGGAGGGAGCAGAGCACTGGTATTTCTTCACGGATTTAGTGTTTGGGAGGGGGAACCTGCATCCTTTTTTTTCCCGGGCAGGAGCGGAGCGCTGGTATTTCTTCACGAATTTAGTGTTTGGGAGAGGGAAACTGCGTTATTTTTTTTCGGGGGGGGGAGCGGAGCGCTGGTATTTCTTCACGGATTTAGTGTTTGGGAGGGGGAAACTGTGTCCTTTTTTCCCGGGGGGGGGAGCGGAGCGCTGGTATATTCACGGATTTAGTGTTTGGGAGGGGGAAACTGTGTCCTTTCTTTTCGGGGGGGAGGGGGAGCGGAGCGCTGGTATTTCTTCACGGATTTAGTGTTTGGGAGGTGTCCTTTTGTTTGGGGTGGGGGAGCGGAGCGCTGGGATTTCTTCACGGATTAGGGTTTGGGAGGGGGAAACTGTGTCCTTTTTTTTCGGGGGGGGGAGGGGGAGCGGAGCGCTGGTATTTCTTCACGGATTTAGTGTTTGGGAGGGGGAACCTGCGTCCTTTTTACTCGGGCAGGAGCGGAGCGCTGGTATTTCTTCACGAATTTAGTGTTTGGGAGAGGGAAACTGCGTTATTTTTTTTCGGGGGGGGGGGGGGGGGGGAGCGGAGCGCTGGTATTTCTTCACGGATTAGTGTTTGGGAGGGGGAAACTGTGTCCTTTTTTCCCGGAGGGGGGGGAGCGGAGCGCTGGTATATCTTCACGGATTTAGTGTTGGGAGGGGAAACTGTGTCCTTCTTTTCGGGAAGGGGGGGGGAGCGGAGCGCTGGTATTTCTTCACGGATTTAGTGTTTGGGAGGGGGAAAACCGTGTCCTTTTTTTTTTCGGGGGGGGGGGGAGCGGACCGCTGGTATATTTTCACGGATTTAGTGTTTGGGAGGGGGAAACTGTGTCCTTTTTTTTCGGGGCGCGGGGAGGGAGCGGAGCGCTGGTATTTCTTCACGGATTTACTGTGTGGGAGGAGAAAACTGTGTCCTTTTTTTCCGGGCGGGGGCGGGGGAGCGGAGCGCTGGTATTTCTTCTCGGATTTAGTGTTTGGGAGGGGGAAACTGTGTCCTTTTTTTTCCGGGGGGGGGGAGTGGAGCGCTGGTATTTCTTCACGGATTTAGTGTTGGGGGGGAAACTGTGTCCTTTTTTTATCTTTTTTTCGGGGGGGGGGGAGCGGAGCGCTGGTATTTCTTCACGGATTTAGTGTTTGGGAGGGGCAAACTGTGTCCTTTTTTTTCCGGGGGGGGCATCCGCCACCCGTCCAACAGCACATCAGGTAGCCTTCGAACTGGCTCGCATCATCATATCGTTCTTACCGACCTGAGCCGCGTTGCGTAGTCCGCAGCAGTGCAGAGGATCTGAACAGCGTGGGCATCAACGAGGTGGGCCGCCAGACTTTTCAGAGCTCAGCTCTTTGCTCGTCTGCATCCTCCTCTCGCCGTGGCAGGTAGAGGACGCGCGCCAGCAGTGCTCCATCGCCCACTGGGGCGCGGAAGTCCAGAACCTCGCCGCTTTGCCGCAGAAGCACATGGGCCGGACTCGATAGCTGCAAGGCCGCAGGGCAGGAGCTGTTTTGCTGAGGCCCTGATCCCCGAGCCTCTCAGCTGCAAAGTCGCTGAAGCAGCGCAGAGCCGCTGCCGCTTTCTGCCCCTCCGAGGCTCCTGTTTGCCGTCTTCACCTACCTGGCAGTGTGCTCAGAAGCACGAGAGCGAGCGCGGACACAGAACTCGCCCTGCGCGACACTCGAGTCAAGGGCAGATCTTTCAGTCAGGTGATCTTCTTCCTTTCGATCGCAGCAGTGGTCTGCCAGCCCCACCCCTGAAAAGAGTTCAGGAAAATGGCAATGTTTTGCGTGTGTGGGTGTGTGCGCGTGTGCGTATGTGTTTTTTCTTCCAAGGCGCCTGCGCTTTCTTCGCCACGATGCGGAGAACGCCACCATGAAGGAGCCCTGGGATGACCAGCGTTCGTCGCGGGAAAATGAACGAAATCTTTCCCACAGTGAGCATACTGCATGCTGTTACTGTTTTTTGAAGAAAATTGGGTTTTGAAGATGCAAGTAACGTTCATAATGTTGTTGGGGTTAGAACTCGCGACAACAACCAAGGCAATTGATCGTGATGACTTTGCAACTTGCAACATCATCATTCTCATCATCTTGATTTTGCCCTCTGCGCTGTAATCATCGCCGCGAACAACACTGTGCAATAAGGCTACCACAAGCGACAGGCAAAACAAACCTGCGACAAGCAGACCGAACAGAACAATGGCAACACAAGCAGCTTCAGCAACAAGAGCAGCAATAACCGCAGCAACGGCACCAACAACGAAGTTATCCGTCTTCTAGTTTGTCGACAATGACAACTATCGAGATGGCAAGGTGAATGGCAACAACAGCGGCCGAAATGTATCACAAGCCAGCAGCGATGCCAAGTCCAAGGATAAATGGAGGGACCCTTAATAAGGACCCCTAGGTATATCACCTTAATATAGCTGCTATCTACCCCTTATATAGCCCGTTCCACATCAAGGGTCCCTCCTTTTGCCCTTTGACCAAGAGACGACTTGCGATCTCGGCCCTTGTTACCATTGCACCTTTGCGACAGCGAAAGCAACCCCCCCCTCCCCCCCCCCCCGGCCAAAGCAGCTTTCTGAAGCTTTCGCCTCCTCCCCTTTGCGCGGAGGACTTCGCGGCCATCTGCCTAGGCGCGGAGCCGACCTGCGAGTCCGCTCACAAGGGCAGCCACCCCTGCGCAAAGTCGGAGGTTTGCCGGACCTCTCGGGCCTGGAGGACGCGGAGGAGCGAGTGAAGGCGGCCATCGAAAACCACTCCGAGGAGACCTTCGGCCGCACATCACGGGCGGCGGGGGTCGCGCGCGGCGGGTCGCGGCGGTTCTCCTAACGCATAATCAAAACTACTGTGTTCAGGACGATCGTAGCAATCACGCTGGCATTTTGTAGCCGTGGTGGCGGTGGTGGCGGTGGTGGCGGTGGTGGCGGTGGTGGTGATGGTGGTAGTGGTAGTATAGTCGAAGTCCTACTGCTAGGAGGTGCAGTTGAAGTCGTACTCACAACTGCATTCCTAGTCGGAGTGCTTTTGCGGTGGGGCTCTCCGGCGCATCTCTTGGTGTGTTTTTGGCTGCCTCTGCTGAGTACTCGCGGAGCAGCTTTCAGTGCCTTGCAAATGCGAGGGTGCTCGCACCTACAGGCGCTCACTCAATGGAGCAAGCCTAGTCGCAGTCGTGGTCGAGATCGTGTTCGCTCGTGGTGGTGGTGGTGGTGGTGGTAGCAGTGGCAGCAGCAGGAGGAGGAATAGTAGTACTAGCAGTGGTAACTTAGTAACTAGTACTAGCAGCAGTAGCAGTACAGCAGTAGCCCCTTCCAACGGTTAAGAATGGAGGCCGGCCGATACAGTAGCCTCAAGATGCAAAGTGGAGTCAGAGAGTCAAGACGATCATGCTAATCGTCATCTTCTTCGTTCTCACACAATCATCATCATCATCATCACCATCAGTAGGAGTATCACTATGCAGTATGAGTGCCAGTTTCAGCAGCATCATCAGCTCACGGATGATGATGGTGATGTTGATGATGATGATCATCATCATATCATAACCACCCTGTTTGTCTTCATCTGACTGGCCGAGGCCCGTCTTGGGCGTGTCTATTTGCTGGGACTACCGGAAGGACGTGGACACCGTGTGGCTTTGCCTGAAAACCCGCCCTCCCAGTGCGCTCCGGCATCTTCGGGGGTTTCGGAAAGACGAGCCCCATGCAAGGAAGGCCTGTGTGGATGCGTCCCTGAAACAGAGCCTAGATCCGGAGCCGAAGGCTGGAGTGCGCCAGGTGTTGCTAAATGCTACCGACCTCTCCGAGGGCCGTAGTTGAGACCGCTGGAAATCATCTCTGTGACACCATCCTTATCACCACTCGCAGCGACAGTGTTTGAGGGAGAGATGCTGGCCAGGTCCCGACTACACCTTCACGGTGGATATTGCAGCGCTTTTTCATGATGGTGGAGCGCAAAGGTCCACGCTTTGACGGCCTCTTTTCCATCTTTTCGGAGAATCTCGGGCTGCTGCTGAGATTGTTGTAGTATGCACCGTACGTACCAGCCGACTCCAGCACTCGTCGGCCGGACACTGGGGCGCCATGTAGTGTGCTTGCAGCTAAGAGCTTCAGCAGTGGCGAGGCATTGTAAAGGCGAATACAAGGCTGATAGGTACAACGGCAAAAGAAGCAGCAGTCGCAGACGCAGTCGCAGAAGAAGAGCATGATCTAACAACTACTCGTAGCGATGATCCCCACCCCAAGTCACCCGCTGTCTCGTTGCCAGCTTTGGGCGAGCGGGATGACGACAAGAAGCCAGAGCAGGCTCGAAGTGCACTGTACCGACTGTACCTTACATGCCTGTCTGGCTGTGCAAGTATAGTTGTATTGCCTGACTGCCTGCTCCTCCCTCCTGCCTCCAGCTGCTTGCTCTTTGGGTGCCTCGCGGCTGTTGGGGCTGGTGGGCTTTGCGCTCTGCTGGAGGGCTCGGAGGCCTGTGGCAAGATGTCGCACAGCCTGCGAAAACCAAAGAGCAACAAAAGGCGAAACCCAATAGCCAGAATCCGGCGCAAAGCTGCATTCTTACAGGCAAGACGAGCTCCAACCTAAAGGCTACAGCCTCCTGATCATCACCCCCCCGCGCTGTCTTCGGGGCTGAAGGTCTGGAAGGTTACTGTTATCAGGTAGCACGGTGACGGCGCCGCGCTCATAATGACTGCAGTTAGATAGTTAGATGAGCTAGAGAGTTAGATGGGCCACAGGTTTGATAGGCTCCCGGCATCGGAAAACACCACTTCTTGGGATACTGGAGAGACGGTGGAAGTTTTTGTTTCTGACCCAATTTGGCTTAAATTGTACCCACCAAATGTCACCGGCTCCAGAAATCCCTGGCCTAGTTCTCTTCGGCAACAGGTTCGGGAGCTGCTCTTGGACCTGAAATGCTCGGGTGCGGCGCCACAAGCTGTCTCGGGCTGCGTCGTCGAGCCGAGTTTTGTTTCCTGGTGGCAGGTGCCTGTTTCGTCGTCTTCCCGTCCGAGCTTGCAAGGGACAAAGCCGTGGCCAGTTCCAGCGGCTGCCTCACTGCTTCAGAGCTTGTCTGTGTTCAGGCAGATGCTATTTCTCATGCTGTTTCCATACCTCCTCCACTTCCTCCTCTTTCCGCTTGTGCGACTCTTTACAGTTGCTGCAGCTGCTGCTCACTGCTGCTGCGACTGTGACCGCGCGCGACTGCTACTACTACTACTACTACTAATTACTACTACTACTACTACTACTACTACTACTACTACTACTACTACTACTACCACAACAACTACGACGACAACGACTACTACCCCTACTCCTACTACAACAGCAACAACAACAAGTACTACTTCTGCTACTACTACAACAACTACTACTACAGCAACCACAACGACAACTACTACTACAGCAACCACAACGACAACAACAACAACTACTACTCCTACTACTACTGCTTCGGTTTTATGTTGTTACCACCACCACCAGCACCACCCCCAGAATACCGCCACTGCATCTACTACTGCCACCACCTGTATCATCATCTCGCTGTAAATGTTGGAATGCACGGACGCGTGCACTACTCTCCCCGGTCTTTCTCCTCGCAGGCAATACCATGACTATCATCATCACAATCATCATCATCATCAACAACACCATCATCATCATCATCATCATCATCGCCATCGCCATCGCCACCATCACCGGCATCATCAGGATCATCTCATCTTCATCGTCCGTATCTGTGCATGTGCAAGAACTTCCAGAGTGGCACTTCGCGAGATTTTGCCCTAGCTCGGCACAGGACCGGGTAGCAACATTCCAATCTGTATAATATCTACTTCAACTAGGTACAGCAGTGGCTTTCTACCCGACTTATTGCTTCAGCACTCTGGACCGGGGTCTTGGGGGAAGTGTTTTTAAGCCATCCGGCCATGCAGCATTCACTACGAGATCTGAAAAAAGCCCCGGGCACGCAGCCGCTTGCAGAGCAGCTTCAAAAGGCGGGGTAGCACGGACGGCCTCTGCAGCGTCGCCAAGCCAAAGTGTGTCGACCCATGACCCCTGCTCATTCCGATGAAAGCTAGACCTTCAGCACCCACAGTCCCTACCTGAAAGCAGTTGATCATGCAGCTTGGACGCTGCACTCTCTTCTGGTTTTTCCTTTTGTCGTCCATCCACCGCGGCTGTGTGACGAAAAGATGCCCGTCCTGTTGTCATTTTCAGAGCTTTCTCAATCTCGACAGCATGTAGGGAAAACACAGCGTCCAGCGGAGGCACACCAAGAGCTCCTGGACCGGCTGGAGGTTTGGTTCGACAGGATCGAGGTCGCTGGGCCATGCACAAGCGACATGCTAAATGTCCGATGACTTAACACACTGCACCATGACAATGATCATCAAGTTTTGCGTCGCTCGCTCTTCTGCACTGAGCTACGGGTCTTTACATTCAGACATATCGCTGCCACGACAGCCACGACTAGACGAAAACTATGGCTCCCAGATTCGTGGCCGCTTGGTCGCTGTCGTCCTTCTCGTTTAGAGATGAGAGCGCCAGGATGTACTCGAGCGGCGGCCAGGGCCACAGGAGGCCCAGGGCTTATGGCCTGTGCTTACGGCCTGTGGCCTGTGGAAGCTTTCAGAAATCGTTCTAGAAATTCTCAAAAGTGTGGTTCGTTCGTTTCGCACTGTGTCGGGAGGGGAGGCTTTTCATTCTGAGAGGCCCATCGCGTCGAGCTCTCGTCGGTTTCGGAAAGGAACTCATGGAATGCAAATTCGGACTATGTTGATGCTTGGACCACTCCGGGCAGTTTTTTGCGGGCTGAATTTTGTTGCGCGTCTCACACAGGAAGAGCGGAAGACCTTCTAAGGAGGAGATTGCAAAGCAAGCATCCGTGCTTTCGGTGAACCATTCCATGCACACAATGCACACGTTGGCGTCTGGGCTGACTGGGAACCCGGCTGCAACGACGAAAAGCTCTCCCGGTCAGGACGAGTATGCAGAGGCCAAAGAGCAAGGGTCTCGAATGGAGTCCTTCAAGCAGTACGTGTCCTCCAATCAGGTAGCATCGAAGCCGCAGGGCAGAGTAGGCCAGGGCCTTCAGTGTATTCAAGAATCAGCTGCCTATTTGGCAGACAGCTTGGCTTTTAACGTCTTTTTCGCCGTTGTGATCTTTTCCAACTCCGTGTTCCTTGGTATGCAGCTTGAGTGGAGCGCTCTGAAAGTTGACAAGTTCGTAGAGCCGGCGTTTCTGGTGGCCCACCTGGTCTACGCCGTGTTGTTTACCTTGGAAATGAGCGTCCGCGTGGCCGCGGTGGGCGCTCGCAGCTACTTCTTTGGCCAGAGCTGGGCCTGGAATTGGCTGGATGTTGTCGTGGTCGTCCCGGCCTGGGTGGAGTTGGCCATGGACTTCGCCATGCGGGGAGGCACCGAAGGGACCGGGACCAGCAACTTTCGCATCATCCGGGTCTTCAAGATCACCAGGCTCCTACAAGTGGTGCGCTCCCTGCGGATTGTGCGCTTCATCGGGGCACTTCGGGCACTGGTGATGTCGGTGGTGGACACCACTCGGCAGCTGGTTTGGGCATTGATATTGTTGGCGCTCGTAATATATAGTTTTGCCATACTTTTCACGGACGCCTGCCAAGACCACATGTTCCGCAATGGACATGTGGAGAGCATGGATGAGCACTTCGGCAGCGTCTATGCGTCAAGCACAACGCTCTTCCAATCGATCTTAGCTGGCATGGACTGGAAAGTCGCCGCAGATTCGCTGCTTCCGCTGGGCATTTTCTGGGTCCAGCTCTTCAACCTCTACATCGCTTTCTGTTCCTTTCGCAAGAACATTAAGCATTACCCTTTCTCCCTTTGTTCCCTTTCTTCTGTCTTTCATCTATTCGTCTGGTCTTCCGACAGCTCCATCATGAGCTCTTGATCAGGTGGATTTGCTGTGCTGAATGTGATGACGGGCGTCTTCGATCCTTGGCGTTGATTGGCCCTGGAGGGGTGCTTTGTGTTGCGTTTCGGCGCGAGCCGAGGTAAACAGTGCCATAAAGACGCGGGAGAAGGACCACGAAACCATGATGCACCTCGGAGTTGCTGCTTAGACTCTGAAGCACTGAAGCCCTGGTTTCTGCGGTTCCGAGGCAGAACGTGCAGCGCTTCAAGGATCTGGTGGCCAAGGCAGAGATCCCCAGAGGAAAGCCGAACGCAGCTTCGCCAAGCCTCGCCCTAGGTGTGGAAGAAGATCGACGTCTCTGGCCTCGGGCAGCTGACGATTTCGGAGTTCGAGCAGATCTTCAAGGATGAGGAGAGCCCCTGCAGGGGGGGCTGTGTTGGGTGTGTCGCGGTGTCGCGAAGATGACTCGATGATGTGACGATGACGATGGCGATGGTGGCGATGATTCGTGCCTTCGGCCTTGGGCCTTCGGCATGGCGCCTCCGCACTGCGCAACTTCTGACCCTTTTCGATGCCTTGGGGAGCGGTCTGAGCTTCATCCCTTCACCTCAAGAGAGGACATGATGGCATTTTTTGATGCCATCGAGATTAACGCCGTGGATGTCGCCTGGTTGCAAAACCCGGTCAAGTCCGGGAGACGGCAGCGGGCAACTCGCTGAGGCCTGGACGCTCTTCGACAGCCTCGATGCCGACCGAGATCACTTGGCGCCTTTTTTTGCAGACGATAAGTTTCAGCACTGCTTCTGAAGCTGATACTGTACTGTACGGTCTGTGGATTCGGATCGTGGCAACGGGCCAAGGTGAGCTACGAAGAGTTCTCGACGACGCCAGATCGGAATACGACAGCTTGTGGAGAGCGGCAGTGGTAGAGGAGGTCAAAGGCATGCCTCCTTGCAAAGTCGGCTTGTTCTAGAGGTTCTATGGAGTGGTTGGATTTGAGTCTTAGAGACTTGCTGGGCTTAGACGGCAGGTATGCGCGCAGCCTCACACCCTCAGCTCCTAAGGAGATGCATGCAGTTGCATGGTCCCGCCCGATCTGTGGACCTCTTCGCGCTCAAGTCGCAGCCACTAGGATCTCATTAACTCGACTCTTGTGACTTCAGGTCGGGTTCAAATCTATCGTGGCTTCTGTCCGCGGGAGCCAGATAACACCGTTTAAGTGGTGCCATGTGCTGAGGCAGGACAAGATGTGGAATCAGACACTTGGCAGACATCTGCACGCAGACACATCCCAGTGAGTGCAAAGCACACATCTAGTAAATGAGAGCGATGAGAGAGATGAGAGAGATGAGAGAGATGAGAGAGATGAGAGGGTTCTAGGGTTCTTCCTTTAAGGCTCAAGAGCCTCGAAACGATCAACGAAGCGAGTGCGGCGCAGATCGGAATGCTTTTGCGAGTGGCGGCGGGAACGGACCGGACTGGGCTCCTTTGGCTCCGATAAGTAGGGATATAAGTAGGGATATATAAGCCTAGTAGGGTAACTAGATGTAAGCCATATAACTATATATATATATATATATATATATAACCCATATTAGGGGACTTATAAGATCAGATCCGGTTTCTTCAGGCTTGGAGCTTTGGGGCCTCAAGGCATCTGATATTTCTTTTCAGGCCGAGGGTGGATCCCGGCGCTTCCACCTGGGGCGTCTGACAGGAATGCAATGTGCTGCTCAGCTGCGGACGGATGCCCTACCCATCCCCCATCCCCCATCCGCCGTGTGTGTTGTTGTAGGTGACCGGTCGCCGAGGTGCCTTCGAAAGTACTTCCTCTTGATGCGGAGTAGCTCTGCAAACCCGAGACCCGAAACCTCTCAACTCCCAGAAAGTACTCAAACTCCCCCAGGCGTCCCCGGGCCCTGAAAAAAGTTCTGTGTGTGTAAAGACTTCGAAGTGGGCCCCGGCGGATCCTTCCAAGATGGCCCAAAGGGGTTCCAGAAAGCTTTGAGCTGTGCCTGTGATAGGATGCTTGCGTACCGGCGTACCGCTCCCGCTACTACTGCGACTACAGGTTGTCCTCTTCTAACCTTAGCTGCATTCCTACTTCGGTTCTCCTGCTTTCTGGTTTCTAGTGAAGAGCTTTGACCCTGCCCCTGTGGGGAATGTGGGGAGAAGGAATGTTCTCAGCACAGCTTTTCCGTTTCACCACGTTGACCACGTGCTGGCGGATGCCTGCTACTCCCTGTCTGAAGATCTATCTCATACTGGCTAAGGGTTTTAAAGGAACTTGAACATTGCATTTTGAGGCCTAAGGCCTAAGATTTGGAGTTCTTGATCTTGTAAAAATCTTCACGATGGAGGAAGGCGCGAAGGTGCCAGAGAGACATCTGGCGTTACTCCACCGGATGCTCGACAAACGTGTTTTAATCCAAAACAGTGTGGATCTGCATGCGAGCTTGCTTGCATCTATGGGTCGCTGTTTAGGTCTAGGTGGTCTCCCTCAATCAACTGGAGTGTTGCTTTGCACACCTGCCAATACGCAAACTTCCGAGCTGCCAGAAGCCAAGGTGGAGTTTCGAGAGAGTTTGCCAGTGCCATAGGTTCCGAGCAAGGCAGCACAGGAATCTCTGAACGTCTGTTGAGGTGAGAACATTGACACGGCAGAAGGACACTAACACTTTTTGGGTTAGGAGACGGCTCCTTGCAGTGAAAATCTGCACGATGGATGGCGAGCCGCCACCGAAGCAAGCCGAGCAGCTGGAGGAGGCACCTGGTTTTTTGGTGCCTTCGAAGGAATCCTGAATCTAGCTTACGCCCGAGCAGAGAGTGAGGTCTGCTTAGGATCTGGAAGCCAACGCCATGCATCACCAGTCGCCATGCGTGGAGCTCCGAGTTTCTGCTCCTGTCAGGTCCTGCAGAGCTTCTCGGCCTGAGACCTTGGAATCTGAGCAGAGCAGCCACCGCGCGCCCTGATCCATGGGTTCAGCGTTATGTGCAGACTTCGCGGGCTCGGCTGAGGACAGCATGAGGAGCTGATTCGCCACTTGGAGCCTTGCCTGCGAAGACCGCGCAGTGTGACTCCCTCCGTCCCTCCTCGTGTCTCTGAGGACGAGTGGCTTCAGAAGCTGGAGCGCTCCATGGAGAGGTCCCTTCCGGCTCGGGCTCGTCTTCACCAGCTCCTACAGCCCTGCAAAGCGAAGCGTCCGCAGGCAGCTGCTCTCCGCAGACGCAGCACAATTCACAGAGGCACTCGCTCGAAGCTCGGAGCGTTGCTGCTCTTTGCGGCCTTTAGGCTGTGTACAGGTTGAAGTTCTGAAGGATCTGTGTTCTGCATGGAGCGGAAGGATGAAGGCACGCCTCCTAGAGCCTCCTGAAGCTCGTACTCCCTCAGACCTGAAAGCGTCCCGGGATTGGTTGCTTGAAAGCTCGAGTGCCAGCAACCAAGAAGCATACAAAGGACGGTAGGAGGAGCAGTATTGTATACACAGACCGGGAGCAACCAGAAGCAACTATGAGTGGTGTCAAGCAGAACAGGAAACGATCTTGACACTGAGAACCACGACAACAGCATAGTCACAAAACCTAAGCGACTTTACTCCTCCTCGCTTGGCATGTCCTTTCGCAGGCAGATCCTAAGCCGCGGCGACGGTCCGTTCGTCTTCGTGATGGAGTCAAGGCAAAGGGTGAAGATGTAGTTTTTTCTCCATCTTGCGGTAGAAGCGATCAGGGTGTCAGGTGTTTGACACTACATCGAACAACCACCGAAATGTTTCTTGTCCGAGGTCGAGAGTTTGAGTCAGGACACTTGTGACCCTAGTGAGGATGGGAACAAGATGATGACGAGGACGAGGATGATAGTGCAGATGGGGCTAGGGATGGTGATGGTTCTTGTGATGTTCCTTATTATGATGATGAGATGCTGCTGCCTGTGCTAGTCACCACGGCCATGTAACGAAGACGAGGCCGTGCCGAGCAATCCAACGATGTTGCTGCTGAGGATGATGTTGTTGATGAGGATGACCATGTGGATGACGGTGCGAATCGCTCGCTCGAGCTCGGCTGAAGAATGAACCTTTGTGGCCCATAGGCGCTCAGTGACGAGATCGCCTCGCCGACTTCTGCCGCTGCTGCTGCTGCCCGTCTTGGCCAGCCCTCGCTCAAGAGGACCTGGAGCTACGAAGTGGCCAAGGAGCCTCTCCCGGTTTTTTGAAGGTCAAACTGATGATTTCTTGCGGAGCTTGGGGAAGCGGAAAGCGGTCATGTCCGTAACGGCCCAGGCCCGCGGCACCGACGTGGAGACCTTCAAGCAGATGATGTCCACAACTGAAAACATCCAGGAACCAAGCGCGCTCCGATGCTCTGTTGCAGTTGTCTCTCAATCCATTCGTCTGAGGGCTGCGGGCAGCTTGGATTCGTGGGACAAAAGCCCTTGATACCTTTCTCGCTTGCTGCGTTCCGAGGTTCCAGAGGTGGTTTGCCTTGTGACAGCCGAGGAGTTTTTTACACGGACGTTCAGCAGAAAGCAAAGCTTGTGGCCGACAACCTTTGGTTCAACGTCTTCTTTGCCGTTGTTATCATGTCGAACTCCGTCTTTCTGGGCATGCAGCTGGAGTGGAGCGCGTTGCGTGTCGACAGGCCAGGCGGGAAAGCAGGATATGCCTTGGTCGGCATCGAAGCTGTATGGGAGGAGACCGCGCTAACCCTGAAAATCGATGCGCATCGAAAGAAGAACTGGGCATGGGCAGTTGCGCGCGTGGAGGGGGGTGCACCTGCGCATACCACGAAATACTCCTCAAGGAAGGTCGCTCTTGAAGGCTTAAGAGTGATCGTCGAGTTAGACTCGAGAATTCAATCAGGTTTTTCTTGCTGAACCCGCTGATCCATGGACCTGGATCCAGGGCGAAAGATCCGATTTTTGGGTCTCTCTGAAGTGGGCGGGTGCGACTTCGGCAGAGCTTCTACCGCCGGCTCCATAGGAGACCGCAAGGAGAGTCCTCTCCTGGGAGGGTCCGGGTCTGCGCTCGCGCGGCTCGGCTTCCCTCCTCAAGGGTAGATAGGAGAAAGAGAAGCAGGGTCCCTGTCGGAGCTGCGGTGGGTCCCATCCCAGTCCCGCTCCTCAAATCCATGTTGGATTCGTTTGTCTTTTCTGCGTGTCGATCCGGAGCGGGGACGTGTGTCTCGCAACTTATCGGGCGATCTGCGCCTGTGCACCTCACCAGCTCCGGAATGGCTTTGAGAGGGGTAGTGAGGCACCTGAAATCCCAGGAAAAGATCATGCATCTCATCCCACTCCCTTTTTATTGAAAGGTTTGTGGAGCCGGGATTCATCGTGGCACACCTGATGTATGCGGTTCTCTTCACTGTGGAGCCTCGGCGGGTCTTTTCATTGTTACTGTCCTGGCTGTGCTGGCTGTCAGTATCGCAGGATGAGCTTCGCTGTTCTCTTGGATGACGATGATGCTGAAAAGATTAGGAGTAGTCGAGTCACAAGTCACAAGCAACAACATGTAGTGGTCAAATGCATCAACACCAAGAGCGATAGCGACCGTTAAGCGGTGGCTGGTTGATATCTTCTTCTCCATCCCAGGAGATGTTCATCCGCATCACGGCCGCGGGGCCGAAAACCTACTTCGTCGGGCATGGCTGGGCCTGGAATTGGCTCGACGTCCTCGTCGGAGCCCCAACATGACACATGGAAGCCTGCGAGCCTCTGCTGCCGCCTCTGCCCCCAAGCTTTTTTCAGGTGGTGGTCCCGGCCTGGGTGGAGTTGGCGCTGGACTTGAGCGAGAGAAACGACGGAGCAGAAGGCGGGGCTGCGAGCAACTTCCGCATCATCCGGGTCTTCAAGGCGCGGGCGGGACACTCGGGAGCCGATTATCCGATTTTCTGGCGGAGGGGGTGGGGTTTTTGAAGAAACTTCCTGTCAAAGGTGCGGCTTCTCTAGGGGTTAGTCCCTTCGCACTCTGCTTTTAGGCGGGAGCCCCGGGCAGACACAGGGAACGCTTCCAAAGGCTGAAGTAGAAGTGAAGGTGAAGACTCGCACGGTGACGTAACCCGATCTGCCTATCGTTTCAAGCGAGTGCTTCTTCATGGACGTGCGAGAGTGTGCAAGGACAGGCGCACATAGGTTTTTGGAATCAGGTTCAAGCAGGTTTCGACAGCTTGCCTGCATGAAGGGCTTCCCTGCTTTACCAGGTTACCCGCCTGCTCCAGGCCACCTTGCTGCATGGAGAAGTCAGAAGGGCATGAGTTGCGTACATCTTGGATGCAAGAGTCAAGAGCCTGCGCTATGACCAGGACTTTCTTTGCAGCGATGCTTCTTGGTATTCTGCTCAGGTCGTTCGCTCACTGCGGATTGTTCGCTTCGTAGCAGCACTGCGCGCTTTGGTCCTATCCGTGGTGGACACTACGCGGCAACTGATCTGGGCATTGATCCTGCTGCTGCTCGTTATCTACAGCTTTGGCATCCTCTTCACCGATGCTGTGTTGGAATACTTGTTCGCCGGTGTCAGCGAAGGCGAGGACACCAGTGACCTGATGAAATACTTTGGCACCGTGTTTTCATCGTGCTCGACGCTTTTTCGGTCGATCTTGGGTGGCACGGACTGGGACAATGCTGTCGATGCCTTGGTGCCCGTTGGCATGTTCTGGGTGCTGCTCTTCCATGTCTACATTGCCTTCTGCGGCTTCTGGGACCACCACGAAGTGGAAGCACACTTTTGATATGTCTTTAGGAAATCAAACCCTGTGATCTCCGGGACTCGAGGTCTCCAGGTCCCAACCCTTCGAACCTACACCCGTATTCACCCTTTCAAATCCTGTGGGAGTTAGGCTTGCTGAGGATTAAATGCATCGGTTTCCGCGTTTTGTAGATTCGGGTTGGGGCGTTTCGACCTTCTTTCCTGCTTTGAGGTGGAGGGGTCGGGGTGGGTGTCGGGCTTCCTTGTTGTAAGTATGTGCGAACACTAGCCGTGTGCGCACACAATTAATGGTATACTGGCACTTGCCTCATTGGTGTTTGCAGACCTTTTGACTTGCGAGCGCAGGGAGTTCTTCTGCTGCCTATCTTCCGAAATATTGCTACTGGTTTACGAGTATCACTATTTCTTGCTTTGCTGGGCCGCATGTGCGAGAATCCGGGTTTTTCGGAAGCTACCCAGGAGCGACAGCTTCAGTGTCGCTGTTGATTCAGGTCATTAGGAGCCAATGACAGCAGTTTTGCCGGAAAGATCACTGTTTAATTTAAACCCCACGTGACTCCCTGTCGCGGCGGCGAGATGTGTCGACTCCTTGTCCTTGTTGCTACCGTTGATTCGTTGATGTTGCTCTTGCCGATCCAACTCGTAGACCTGTTTGGGTATCTTGTTTTGTCTTTGAGAAGCGGCATGCGCGTTTTCAGGATTTGCGGTGCTGAATGTCATGACGGGGGTGTTCGTGAATTCTGCGATCAAAACACGGGAGAAAGATCATGAAACGTTGATGCAGAATGGCGTCCGCTTGAAGGATCTGGTCACGAAGCTGTGGAGCAGAATCGACGCGACAGGGCTTGGGCAGATCACGATCTCCGAGTTCGAGACCATGTTCGAGGACGAGGCAATGCAGGCCTTCTTCGAAGCGATTGAGATCAAAGCCGTAGATGCCACTCGGTGATGATGTCGTTGATTTTCATGGACCTGTTTCGAAACCCGTTTCTCCAAAGCGAAGGCTTGGACGCTCTTTGACAGCTTGGATGTGGACGGCGACCACACAATCAGCATGGACGAGTTCACTGAGAGACTGGGCGGTTGGTTATTGACTCTGTCATGAAGATTGCACGCGAACCATGACAGTTTATGCTAGAAACGCAGAAAAGGCCGCAGGCGCCTTGCTTGTCTTTACGTTTTCTTGCGAGTCTGGCCGAGGAGATGCCTCCAATTGCACGGCGCAGCCCGCTCCGTGGATTTGTCCCGCAGCCGGTACAACGAGACACAAACTGATTGTTCTTTTCTGAATTGCTTTCCGTTTGAGGGTTTGTCTGTTGAAATGAGTATCCGCAGTCTGACTTTCCGATGACGGGCGGGCTTCTTGAAGGTTTGTCTTGCATGGGCAGGACTTGTGTTTCGAGGTGCAGGGAAAAAGGATCATGTATGCCCGGGTTTTATATGGGTTTTGAAAGGACGCTGGCAGAGTTCCCTAGAGCATTTGTGTGCGGAGGAGAACCGCCGAGCATTGAAAGCTTCAGTCACATTCGAAAAGCGGCTGCTTTGGACGAAGGTATGCGTTGAAGAAGCAGATGAAGAATCTCCAAGGCTCGTTGCCACAGCTGTGAACAGAACCCCCGCAATCTTTAGGAAAGGAAGGCTACTGTATGGTTGTTGACTTTTGTTCGTCCCTTTGGTGTTGCAGTGCCGCTACTGCTATCAGTGCCAGAGCCAGGATTTGCAGCGTTTGCCCGGGACCCTTTCCCTGCCTTCGGTTTCACGCGTGCTGCTGCAGGCGCTCAGCAGCAGCTTGCAGAGCAATCTGCAAGGATTCTGCTGCTCGGACATGCATGACAGTCCAGGCTAGGCAACCGTCAGCGTGATGCTCTGCTGTGCTTCTGGCAGCAGTTGCTATGATCGCAGAAAGCTGCTTTGAAAGCTGAGGAGAGCCTTGGCCCTACGTCTGCACATCGATGACCATTTTTCCTGCTGAGCGCCGGAAGCACATGCAGGCTGAGGCTCGTGATTTGGGAGCCTGTGTGGCCTGGCGTCTCTGCTTCGATGTCGAAATTCTCGATCCGGTTTAAACCGGCCGAGTGGGAGAGAGTGGCCTCTGTGTGTTTCTAGGTTTTTGCTATGCCATATGCAGTAAAGCTTTCTACGTTTCGGATCAAGCCTTTCCCATCTTTCTGAGTTGCAGCGATGTTTGTCCAACCGTCCAACCGTGCTGTTTTGTCTTGCTCATTGCTCCCGCCTATGTCGACGGGCGGCGAGTTTCACCGAACCTTTTCAATAGCATGCCTTCGGGCAAGCCAGCTCGAAGTGAGGTCCCGGAAATCAGGAGGGGCTGTTTTCAACGGGCGGTCGGGGTTCGCCAAGCGGGCACAACCGCTCGCGTAAGCGTAGTTATTCTGGCCGGAGGCCGAAAAGCTGGAGTCTGCCCTTGCTGGTGCCTTTGCAATGGTAGGGCTGAAGGGGCTGGGGGCTGCCAGCTCATGACTTCTTCTGTGGCTTCAGTTCATGGACGTCCTGCAGAGCAGTGTTCGTACATGTATCGTGATAAGTATGCGCTCCTGTCTCCGCAGTCCCCAAAGAGCGTGAAGAAGCTCGAAGAAGCTCTAAGAAGCTCCAGCTCTCTAGCTCCAGAGCCGAAGTCGTTCCGAACCTGTCACCGCCGGCCTTTGCGCAGCTATGGAGCAGATGGCGGCACTCGAGGAGGCAGATCTGTTGTGCAAAGCTTACACTACTCCTGCTACCACAACTTCCCGACGACGACTAGTACTGCTACGTTGGGACTGCTACTGCTGCTGCTGCTGCTACTGCTGCTACTGCTGCTGCTGCGGCGACCACGAGAAGCACCACCACAGCGATGTCTGTTGTTGCAGCAAGTGCTTCTTTTGGCGCTACCTCGCCTCCAGTTCAGAATGACCAGCATGAAGCGGTAATGACTCAACCGTGGCTGTACGACCATCCTCACCACGATAGCCTCGTCACCATCATCACCATCACCATCGCGATCGCTATTGACACCGCCACCGCCGCCACTGCCGCGACTGCCGCAACACCATCATCATCACCATCATCACCATCACCATCATGTCTATTGTACGCATCATAGCCATCCTAATTACATCACCATCGCCATCACCATCAACGTCATGTTTGATCGCACGGCGTCGTTCTCCGTCACATATAGCTGAGGATCGTGAATCGTCGCTATGTGTGTCTTCTGTAACGATTCAGTTGCCATCTGCGTCACCTCTGCTAGCAGCATCAGCACCAGCGTCGGAAGCAGCAGCCATCGCACAAAAGCCCCGGAAGAACGGAGCATCTCGGGTTCGTTTCGTGACGTCTACGCGCAGGTACTCCACGCTCAGCACAGCGAGCTCCTCCTCCGGTTAGACAAGCTGGAGGCCGCCCTCTCAAGGCGGCAACGAGAGAGATAGAGAGAGAGAGAGAGAAGCATCTCGTTGCTCCAAAACAGGGGGAAACAGAACATCTTCTTACACTCCTCCAAAGCCCCCAATAAACATCGTGGGGGCCCTTTCGGCCGGGGGGCTTCGAACACCCCTCATGCCCCGGGGAAGAAGAAGCATCTCGGACCAACCCGATGTGACTTTCGCAGCATGTCATACTGGGGCGAGAAACCTGGCAGAACTGGAGCCGAGATGCTAAAGCCAATTCTGGCTCGGAGTGTTCATAGTTCCGCGGTGGTGCTTAAATGGGGAAACATATGTTTGCAGTGGGGTGTGTTTGTTCCCTTTATCAAGCATGCTGGTTCCCATATTTTGTTTATCGTGGCCCCGCTGGTCAGAGTCTGTTTTGGCTAGAAGGCGTTGCGACCGGAGATTTGTCTTTGCCAGCATCAAGAGTTTACGTCTTCAGAGCTTTTGTGCTGGAAGCTTGTTTTTTACGAAAGCTGCCGGTGGCTCACTTTTGTCGGTCCTTACCGGTTGAGCTGGCAAAGCGAATTTGGGGCATCGAGCGTGACGCCTGGTGTCGCCAAGGTACATGTGTAGATTCTGAGTGTTCATCTGGTTGAACTTGGGCAGCTTTGCTGTTTTGAGGAGCCGGCGGGGAGAGAGCCGAAGAGAGCTCAGGGGAGCTCTCAGTACCTCCTCCGTGGACCTCTTTGAGATCCCGGAGAGTCCGAGCGAGAAGAAGCCGCCGGAGGTCAGAGGCTCAGTCGGCTCAATCTGCTCTGCTGCGAGGCTCATGCCGCAGACCTCGTCTACTCGTGGCCGAGGCTCAGACGGTGCCGATTGCCCCCAGGCCCCAGATTGAGCCCAATGCCAAAGCGAAGCGAAGTGCTACGAGTCGCTACGAGCTCGCGAAGGACACATCCGCGCTTGACATCACCCTTCGAGTAAGCAAGGGCGACGTACCAGTAGGTTCTTGTTCACGGAATACATAATATCTTGCTTCGGCTCCTGCAAGTTTGAGAGACCCAAAACAGCTGTCGAGATTTGAAGTCTTGTGGATGTGGTGCGGTGGCAGCACAACTCACAGCCTGACAGCGTGACCCGGTACCGGCACAGGAGGAGGGCAACCGCGTCGAGGAGATGAAGCAGATGCAATTCAACAGCGAAGGCGACGCCGACAACGGCTGCTTCCAGAATCGCATCCGTCCTCTTCGAAGGTCTGCGCAGAGCCTGGCGGCATCGTTGCCTTTCAACATCTTCTTTGCCTTGGTCATCGTCTCGAACTCACTCGTCCTCGGATTTCAGCTTGAATGGAATGCCCGCCGAGTGATGGACTCGCACCCTGTCTCAAACCAAGCAGATTCATCGGCCAACTTACACCCCCTACCCCCACCCTGAGATATTTGACGATCGCCCAAGTTTCTGGGTATGGGTACGGTAGACTTTTTTCATTGAGGAACCTTTGAAGTCGCAGCGGAATTAAAATCTTTTCTTTTTTTAATGAATCTCGCTTCTTGAGGAGATGTGAATACAAATAGATTTTCTTAGACTTTTTTGCGGGTTTTAATTTTAACGCTACGCCGCCCGCCTCGGCTGTGTAGCGGCAGGGCGAGGGGCAGTCGATGTTTTTTAGGGCGGCCTGTCAAACCCCAACCTTTACACGGTTGTTGATACGAAGTGCGAGGAGAATGGGTAGGGGAGGGGGGGGAGGGGGGGGAGGGGGGGGGGAGGGGGGGGGTGAAACCATAAACCCTAAAGGGGTAGCTCTAACAGGTACCTACAGCAATGGCTGCATGCTCATACATATACATTCCGCTGCCCATTGGCTCACAGTGGTTTTACCATATTGAGACAAACAAGCTCTCCTTGCGTAGCAAGACAAAACAACTACTGTCCGTGTGCAGGGCGCTGCCCTTTGATCCTTAGGGAATAACTGGTCATACACCTCCTAACAAGGAGTATCCCTTGGGGGTGTATCGGCACAGTTTTCTGGTAGCGGAGCCCGGAAAGGGCCGCCCGCCTCACAAAGTCCGCTACAGCGGTCGGCCTCGCCGAACGCTTGACCAAGCGGATAAGAGGCAGCACAATGTCGAGCTCGCATAGCGAAGCCGACGGCAGTTCCCAATCCTCCGGGGGATATGAGAACGAAGAGACCTCCCAAGGTCCAGCCACTTATGTCGCACAGTCATTTGCAACATCTGACCGCATGCTTGCATCATTAGGCATAACGCCCAAGATCGCGCCTGCCTATGATGGCACCACTTCGTGGTTTGAGTATGAACAGTTGATTGACGACTGGTGCGACATAACAACGCTGGATGACACCAAAAGAGGTCCGTCTCTCAAGACGAGGCTCTCCGGATTGGCCGCAGTACAAAAAGAATCACTTAACCGAGAAAGGCTTGCAGCCCCAGATGGAGTAGATTACTTCAAGAAGAAGATGCGTCCATTTTTCGTGAAAGGAGAACAGTACGTTTTCCTGTGGCGTTTCCTCGGCCTATTCAAGGCATGGAAGGGCAACCAAGACTTTGTGACTTGGATTGCTAAGTTTGAGATCGTGCTACAGCGCGTGAAAAACTCATGGATGGATCTCTTACCAGAGATAGCTCTGGAAGATGCCCATCCAGATTTCATGCAAGCTGTGCAGGCAGACCGAACCTTCCTGGGCCTACAGGAAGCAGCCGAGAGAGACACATACGCCGCACGCTATTTCGAAACATGGAACAAGGAACGCCTTGACAATCATCGAAGAGCGTTTCCTCTGAACGATAATCTCCTAGCTCTCCTCTTCCTAGTGCAGTCCGACCTAAATGAGATGCAACGTGAGAGGTTGGTAACAGCATTGACCAACCAAGGTCACCGAATTGAGACCTACACGTACCCTGTGGTACGGCAGACCATGTTCGATCAGTTCTCAACGACCAGAACTGGTCTGCAGGATCCCAACATTCGGCACTCTTCTCACAAGAAGGACCGCCATGGAAGGAGAGACCAACGCCGCAAACGCGGAGGTCGAAACTTCCTCATCCTCGATCAGGGTGAATACGATGGAGTCGATGGATTCTGGCTCCAAGACGAAGACACCCTTGAGGAAGGCTTTCTTGCCGCCGAGGATGAAGAAGCTGTCTTCTGGACAGTTGATGACCATGAGGCCTTCGTTGCAAGGAGATTCAAAAAGGGAAGAAGACCAAGAATGCGTCCCGGATCACCGGGAAGAGCAAAGGGTGGCAAGCGAAAAGGACGTGGCCGTTTTAGGTCATACCGCGGAAAAGGGAGAGCCAACCAGGCAGAACATGATCCAACTGATTCCAGCTATTTCGGTAAAGGTAAAGGAAAGGAAAAAGGAAAAGGTGGAAAAGGCAAAGGAAAAGGAAAGGACAAAGGAGATAAAGGAAGCTCCTTCAAAGGTACAAAAGCAAAAGGCAAAGGTAAGGATACAGCTAAGTCTGCCTCCTTACAAGGAGACCAAACTGGATCTCCACAGGCCTATGAAAGTTCCACCGCACCGAGCTGGGATTCATGGTATGAGGACAGTTATTATACTGACTCCAGTTGGAATTATGCCGCTTATGACGATCAAACGTCTTATACATACTATGCATCACAAGCCTCAAGAAGAAAAACACGGAGAAAGAAGAGAAGAAATCAAGCAGGATCATCAGGTAGAGGCACAGATCCGAGCGCGCACCAAGAACCCGTGTTCAACTCATCAGTGAGTTACGTGCCCCAGGTCTCTGAACCATCCGAGGGGCAAGGTGTGGAGACTGCAACAGCAGTGTTTCCGTTGCAGCACACCGTCCTATCTGCTCTCACAGAGCGGATCAATCTTGATAAGAGCCCTACCTTTGTCATACTTGACTCTGGTTGTACTAGGGCTATGGGTTCCCGCTATGCGGTGAACAGGCTTATCAAGGCCGTGAAGCAACATGCCCCAGGCATGATTGATTTCACTTTTTCACCTTCGAACACGAAGTTCTCTTTCGCAGATAGTGAAACAGCTCTTATCAAGGAGCGTGTAACTCTATGGTTCAACACAACTCCAAGAAGAGATAAAACCATAGAAGTTTTGGATCAGGGGAGAGTCCCCATTTTGTTTTCCATCGAACAGATGAGGAATCTAAGAATGACCCTCGAGTGTAGTCCCACAGCTGACCTAGCAACGTGTGAAGCTTTCGGTTTGTATAAAACCCCTCTTCCGATTAGTACCAATAACCATTTGGTATTGGACCTTCTAGGCTTCACTTCCACCAGGAAGTATCTCCCTAAGTCAGGTACGTCGTTCAGTGCGACGGAGACTGCTCTAGGAGCCAATAAGCCTTATACTAGGATACCGGAAGGTCGCTGTCCAGCCTGTGCCGGACAGAAAAGGGCTCACACGTACCTCAAGGGTTGCGACAAAGCACCTGAGGGAGCAGCTGATCCACCACCGAAGAGGATTTCAGGTAAAAAGAAGCCTCTTCCATCTGATCCGGCAGAATCATCTGCCAAGAAACTTGATCCACCAGAACCATCTGGTGATGCTCCTGAGCCTTCCGGACCATCGGAACCATCATCAGGCTCTAGGGACAAACCTGCAGAATCCTCTGCACCACATGAACCTCCAGAAGAAGAAAGACTTGAGGTCCCACCTGCGAAGATAAAGACTCCAAAGGGTCTTAAAAACCTTCTGAAGAAATCCCGCAAATATGCGGTTAAACCTCCTGTTGAAGAGAAGTCTAAGGTCCCAGGAGCTGATGACGGGACGGAGGTAAGACCACTTGAGTCAAGAGAATACCCGGCTCCTGGTACAGACTCACCTACAGGTGAAGAGATTGTCGCAGAACCATCGCCATCTCTTCCCATTGCTCTTCGCAGGATTCATGAGAAGCTTAAGGACCCTGTAGAACTCTATAAGCTTCACCTTAAGCACCGTCATATGAGTACGGATCAGTTCAAGCGACGCACAAAAGCCTTACAGATCCCAAAGGAGATATACGAGCTATATGACCAACTGGTCAAAAAGTGTTCAGCCTGCCAGGAACATGTGAGAGCTCCTTCAAGAGCGAAGATTTCTGGTTTAAGATCAGAGACTTTCGGTGATCTCACCTTCGTAGATCACGGTGAGCTTCCAATTCCCGGCAAGGATAGTCGCTTAGTATTTCTTATTCTCTATGATGGAGCAACAAACTTGTTGACTGCCGAAGTAGTCCAGGATAAAGAAGAACATACTACAATGTCGATTATGAATGACTACTTTGAGAAATTTCAGATCAACCCAAAGGTTGTAGTTGGAGATCAAGCATTCATGACTCCAAAAATGGAGGCTTATTACAATCGGCAGAATATCAAGCCTGTGGCAACAGGACCTGGAACACCATGGCCCAACAGGGCCGAAGCTGCTGTAAGATTGCTGAAGCATCAGATTAAGCTCATACTTCAGATCCTGAAGGATGGTGACCCGCAGTATAACGGAATCACCATGAAGTATGGCAACCTCGTTCGCCAAGCATGTTTGGCAAGAAACTCTTCGATTACCTACGGAGGAGTTACTCCTTTAGAAATGGCCTTTGGAAGGCGTCCTCGAGATGTTATAACACCAGAGAACGCTGATCCCAATCAGTTGACAGGTAATCCAACTGATACGGAAGTCACTGCGAGAGCCATTAAGGAGCTTGCCAACAGGGCTTACCAAGAGGCACGCCAATCTGATGATCTGCGTAGAGATCTTGCAGCCAGACTGTCAATGACCCAAGGACCTTTCTCTTTGGGAGATAAGGTTTTCTACTGGTCAGAAGATAAGTCTAAGATTGGATCCACTGGGTCCAAACATGGATCTTGGCTAAAAGGAAAGGTGATCTCCGAACTCGGAGGATCCATGGTAGGTGTGGATCTTGGAACACGCATCGTCCGCGTCAATATCTCAAAACTGAGGAAAAATTATGACATAACATCTGATGTGGAGATTCCTCTCGCGCCTGATGAGGAAACTCTGACGTCAGAAGGTTCTGACCACGCAAGTTGCATGGTCACCTTCGATGCTTCCCTGCAGTCGACAGACCTAACGGTTCCACATCAAGAGTGTCACTGGCAGGTCACCAGCACTGGGAAGATTGACTTCCTAGAACTCTACGGCGGATCTCCCCGCATGAGTCACAAAGCTGCCCTGTCAGGTCTGCGAGTAGGTCAGCCAGTCGATTTGCGTAGCGGTCTAGATCTTGAGCAACCGCAAGGTCGCTCCAATCTTCTTAGGATCATCAAGGAACAAGAACCTACTATTATTGTTATGTCACCCGATCACTCTCAGTGGTCTAGCTGGTACTCACAGTGGAAGAAAGGCTCTGCCAAGAGACTTTCTGTTTTAAAATTCTGTGAATCGG